AGTAGGCTGTACCATCTACATTTGTGTAAAATGCACTGTATGATATTCACAGAATGATGAAATTGCCTAATGATGCATTTCTCAGGACATACCACTATTGCTAAGTGATGCAGGACTGTAGGGAATATGTGTACATATCTCCCTGCAGTTGGTTCTCAACATTTGTAGGTTCTGCATCTTTAGATTCCACCAAACATGTGTTGCAAATGTTTTCTAAAAATTGTATCTGTACTAAACATGTATGTTTCATTTTTCTCTTTATTAATCCTGCAAATAACAAGAAAATACACAAAAAAATTGTATCTATAATCTCTACCTACCTATTTTATCCTATATCTTTCTCTGTCATCTGTCAAAATATTTATACCTACATCTATCTTATCCTATTGCTGTTATATCTCCTATTAATTCTCTTTTCATGGAGAACCCTGACTAATACAGTTCATCTATACCTTTAAGAAGGTATTATTTTAATAAATTTTTTTCATGGGGGTAATGAAATTTGATTGGAGGGGTGCTTTGCCACTGAACCACAACCCTGTAATTTTTCCTTTTTATTTTGAGACAAAGTTTTACTAAACTGTTAAGGGTCTCAAGAAACAGCCAAGACTGGCTGTAAACTTGCAATCTGCTTGCCTCCACCTCCTGAGTCATTGGGATTACACGTAGACACCACATACCTGAATTCAAGTGAATTTCAGTGTTTGTGAAAGTTTCATTTTGCCTTAATTTTTGAAAGACAGTATCACTGGGTAAAGAATTTGAGGTTGACATATTTTTCCTTTCATTTTGTAAAGGTATTGCTCCCCAGTCTTCTTCCTCTCCTGCTTCTGGTAAACAATCTGCTCCTATCATTAAGGTCCAAGTGTCCCATTCACTCCTAGTTTAATCAAGTGACATCATATGTGGTGATAGTGTTTTCTTCATGTTTCCTGGGATTGATTTTAGTGAGTTATTTGCTTGTTGGTTTCAGGTTTTCCCCAATTGTGGAATATTTTTGGCCATTATTTTCTCAAATACTCTATCTATTCATGCCCCATACCCACCCTGCCTTCCTGACTTCAATCACACACACTTTATGCTGAAAGAAGCTGTTCCCCAACACAGTGATGTATTGATTATTGTTTTTATTATCCCCCAGTTTTATCTTTAGTAGTTTCTAAGGTTCACTGATCTTCCATGTATCTCATTTACTATCACTCAGTTTGTTTATTTATTTACTTTTCCTTAATCTCACACTTCCAGTTTTAATCTCTGCAAGTATCTATATCCATAATCTCTATTTGTTTGTGTGATATTTTGTTCATTCCTCTGGATCTTGAACAACTGAAACACAGTTGTGATAAATGTCTTTGTATCTTCTCCTGAGATACCAAATGGGAAGGCTGGGTAGAAAGGGCAAACTGGGGTCCTCAGATCTGGTTGAGCTGAGCCAGACCTGACCTGGCTTTGCTTTCAGGCCTCCTGGGCTAGAGGAAGAGTGTGACACAGACCAGGAAGATGTTTGTATCTCACTTATCCGTCTGCCTGATTCACTGTGAGCTTTATCATTGTTGTCCCACCTGTGACAGTAATAGTTAGACTAACCCCCAGGTTGGGCTCTGCTGATGGACAGGGTGGCTGTGTTTTCTGAAATGGAGCCAGAAATTTTGTCAGAGATTTCTTAGGATTCTTTGCAATCTCCTTAGATGAATAGTACAGGAGCCTGGTTTGTTCTATTTTTTTTTAATTAAATTTATTTTTTTTAATTCTTTTTGTAGTTGTAGATGAACAGAATGTGTTTTTTTTGTTTATTTTTATGTGGTGCTAAGGATCAAACCTAGTGCCTCATACATGCTAGGCAAGTGCTCTACCACTGAGCTACAGCCTCAGCCCCAAATTAGATTTATATATATATATATATATATATATATATATATATATATATATACACAAAACTTGTACATATATTGGGATAACATGAAATTCTGATACATGTACATGTTGTATAATATTTAAATCAGGTTAAAATCAGGCAATTCAGCATGTACCTATAGTCCTAGCCACACAGGAGGCTGAGGCAAGAGCATCACTTGAACCCAGGAGTTCTAAACAGCCTGGGCAACATAGTGAGACCCCATCTCAAAAAAAAAAAAAAAAAGTTTAAATAAGATTAAATTTATTAATATCTCTAAACATTTATCATTTATAGTGAAAACTTACAAAATCATTTCTTCTAGCCTTTTCTAATGCACTGTAAAAGGATTAAGTTGATAAAATTTTGTTCTGTACATTTTACCACAACTTTATAAAAGAATCACTGCTGGGCACTGTGGTGCACATCAATGACTGAGGAGGCTTAGGCAGAAAGATCTCAAATTCAAGACCAGACTTAGCAATTTAGCAATATCCTCTTTTTTAGATATACATCACAGTAGAGTGTATTTTGACATTATATATATAATATTATATATAATATATATTTATGGAGTATAACTTATTCTAATTAAGATTCCATTCTTGTAGTTGTACATGATGTGAAGTTACACTGGTTATGTAGTACATGAACATGGGAAAGTTATGTTGGATTCATTCTACTATCTTTTTATTCCTACCCCAGCTCCCTTCCCTTTGTCTAATCCAATGATCTTTTATTCTTCCTTCCACCCACACCCACCTTATTGTGTTAAAATCCACATTTCAGAGAAAACATTGCATTCATTCTTTGTATTTTGGTGTGTGTGTGTGTGTGTGTGTGTGTGTGTGTGTGTGTGATGGTAAATAGCTGCCAAGTAGGAGGTCTCTGCACCATATCTACCAAATAATTCCTTACTCTCTTATCTTAGTATAATTGGTTAAAGGTACACAGGCAACAGCCTCACTGATTTTTCTATTTAGAAATTTCTTCCACCACATTTTACTTTCTCTTAATTTTGGCTTTCCATCAAGCCCTAAGGCCTAGGCACAGTTTAGCTTGATTCTTTGCTTGACTCCATTTTCCAAAATGATATTGCTCCTTTCCATCTGAGCCCTCATCAGCATGATGCCCTCATCTGTCCACATTTTTAGTAGCATCCTGGTCATGACCACATAACCAATCTTTAAGAAGTTATAAACTTTTCCTAATTTTTTTTTGCCATCTAGCTCCTCAACAGAATCATCCATATTGTTCCATGTTCAGCATTTTAAGCTTTTTTAGCCTGTTTCTCCAAGATCTCCCAGCCCTATTTCTAAATTTTCATGTATTGATTGTTAAAAACAGTCTTATTTCTCTATTCCAATTTTCAGTCTTAGTCCTTTTTATGTTACTATATCTGATTACCACAGACAGGTAACTTATGAGGAAAAGAGGTTTATTTAGCTCATAGTTCTATAAGTCCAACAACATAGCACCATCATATTCTTGACTCTCCTGAGGGCCTTTCTGCTGACAGAGAGGCTACAGAGTCCTGAGATGGTGGAGGGCATCATGTAACAAGACAAATCTTGCTCAAGTGTCTCTTTGTCTTCTTAAGCTGCAGTCCCATTGGATTAAGACTTGGTCTTTATAACCTCATTAACATTTATTACCTTTCTAAGGTCTGACCTCTAAATACATAGATTACATTTCTCCACTCTATGTCATGATGGGGAATGAATTTCCACCTCAGTTTGGGTGGAGACATTCAAGTTATAGCATAAAGAATAAATATCATATGCAGGCAGTCCTTCAGTTCTCCCACGGTTCTTGATTAAAGACAGAAAATCACTACCACCATTAAGGCAGGGCTGATAATGGACCAAGAACTTCAGAAATAAACTCTGGATTCCTCCCACCTGGGAGGGGAGGTGTTTGCTGAAGGTTCAGGTGATGTGGAATAAATTGGGAAGAGTCATAATGAGTATCAGCTACAACGTTGGAACCAGTAACAAGGAGGTTCAAGTATTTGAAATGAACATGTAGATACAGGTTAGCCAAATATTCTTGTTTTCTCATCCCTTTCTTCCTCGTATTTTCCAACATAAGACATTCTGACAGTATATGTTTGACTTTGAGATGAAGTGTTTGAAAATAAAATGTGAATTAGCTCTGAGAAGAATAATGTCACCCAAAAGTCAGAAAGGATTTTGCATAATTTCACCAAGGAACAGTGAGTCTGTTTATGATTTTATCCAGGATTGTTGCATCTTATTAAGTAGGAACATGGATCTCAACATAATCTTTCTTCGGAGATTTGGTGGATTATAAAATGTGTGGTTTCCCATTGCCAATGGGTGGATTATGAGGACTTTATGTTAACAGTTTCCAGAATTTCCTTTATTCTACATTTCTGGTTAACCTTGGTGAAAAGAAATTTGCCGGTGTGAGATTCAGCATGTGCTAGGGCATTCCCCAAACTATTAACAATTCCAACATCAGTTAAGAAATTGTCCAGGTGTGGTGTGAAACACACTGTATTAATGTCTGTTTATTCTATAGGGTTAGAATGCATACCATGGTCACCTAGTGGTTAAAAATGACAGCGGAAACCAAAATGTCAGTAGTTTCATGAAGCTGGATTCCTACAGAGGCAGAGCCAGGCAACTTGACTTCAGGCAGCAATCAGACCAGAATCACCCTGTGTGGGAATGGGTGGGCCAGCCTGACAGAGGAGTACCTGAGGAGATACCACAGGGCCCACTATACTGGTTTGCTCAGTTCAGATTCATAGGCTTCGTATGAGCTTGGGGCTTCAGAAGCTTTTCAAGGGCTGGATACTTCTGACTAATCCAGGTCATATGGACCTAAAAGTGGCCCAGTCTACACAAAGTGTAAATTCAGGGATCAAGAACAGAGTTCATTGACACCTGTGTCTGTCCTCCCACTTAGGTCCTCTATCCTTGACACACACCCAAGCCAAAAACTCACCAGGACAGCCTGATATGTCACCCAAAAATCCACTCATGATATCCCCTCTGCAAAGCCTACCTAGAGAACTGGAAGGAAAGGGCAGTCTAGGGGCCTCAGATCTGTATAAGCTGGGCCAGACTCTCTTATGGCTTTACTGCCAGTCCTCCTGAAGACTATAAGAATGTGACACAGACAAGGAAAGTGTTTGTGTCTCACTTCTCCATCTGCCTGAAACACTGTGTGCTTTAGCATTGCTGTCCCACCTTTGACAGTAATAATCAGCCTCATCTTCAGCCTGGACCCTGCTGATAGTCAGGGTGGCTGTGTTCCCTGAGCTGGAGCCAGAGAATCGGTCAGGGATCCCTGAAGGCCTCTCACTGTCCTCATAAATCACCAGTACAGGGGACTGAGCAGACTTCTGCTGGTACCAATGAATATATTTTTCAGAGAGTTTGTCTCCAGAGCAGGTGATTATAGCTGTCTGACCTGGAGTCACTGACACTGAGGGTGGCTGTGTCAGTACATAGGAGGCCATGGAACCTGAAAGAGAGAAGAGGAGAGGGGGACCTGAGGATGAAGGACCCAAGGATGAAGGACCCATTAGCAGGTACCCTTAATGACTATGTTGGGCTGAGCTCAAGGTTTGGGTTGGACCCAGCTCAGGATCCTGTGAGAGCTGAGCCTGGGGACAGGTTAGCAGATCACCTGTGCAGACAGACAGAAGGGTGAGAAGGAGAGGGATCCAGGCCATGGTGGAGATGTCCCAGAGTTCTGTCTCCTGAATCACAAGAGAGCTGGGCTCCCCCAGGCCTCTCTTATTTCCTCTCATGTCCTTTGGGGTAATATTTGGTTGTCATGCAAATTTTCTCCTCCCCTAGGTCTCTTCATTGAGTGCAAGTGGGAGTGAGAAGAAGAGACTGAGGAGGAGGAGTGGAGTCCCAACTTCCTCCAGATTTTTCTCTGGGCAGAAAATCAGCTTTGAACCCCAAGTTCCAGGATAGAGTCTCCTTTCAGAAATTGACACGATGACCATTGTCCCAGACCTCCTAAGGTGTGGTATGTCCTGGGCCCAGCTCAGCAGGGTTGTTGACCTTCTAGGAGCCTGGTCATGGGCTGAGATGAAACCTACTGTGGCCATTGACAACATCTGATTCAGCAGATGGTGAATCATTGTACCTCACTTTCCTCCTTCTCTTTCTGTGTCCCCCAAGTGCATTTTTGTCCCATCCTTGCTGTTTTGTTTGAACGTGGTCTGGAAATATTAGCCTTTATGGTAAATCATTTCATATATACATTTTGCTTGGTAAGCACGCACCTGCTTTTTGTATTCATCACAGCTTCTATTCTCATTTCACATCTGGTATTTTCTTCCTTCTGTGGCATCCCCCTTCTCACAAGGCACTAAGGGTCAGAACAAGAATACTTTCTTTTATTTAGTTGTTTATCAGTGTTTCAAATTATCTTGTTAAAAAGGCCAGAAACCAGACCTATTTAAGAACTGCACTTTAGACTTGTGGCCTCTGAATGTTATCATGGTCACAGGTACAGAATTGACTCTTGAAAGTGGGTGATCAGGGGTTCTTCCTGTAAGGAGGACCCTGTCAATGAACCAAGGATAGGCTATCATCAGAGCTGTGAAAAGAGGGACACAAGAGTCCATGTCAGTCTACAGAGGTTTTTTTTTTTTTTTTTTTATTTCTTTTAATTAGTTATACATGACAGTAGAATGCATTTATGCACTTCGATATATCATACATAGATAATTTCTCATTTTTCTGAGTGTACATGTTGTAGAATCATAGGTCATGCAGCCACATATATACATAAAGTAATGATGTCTGTTTCATTCTACTATCTTTCCTATCCCCACATACCCTCCCCTCCCCTCCCTTCACTTCCATCTACCTAATATAAGTTACTGCTATTCTTCTCTAGGGCTCCCTAGTTTATTGCGAATTAGCATCCACATATTAGAGAAAACATTCAGCCTTTGGTTTTTCAGGATTGATTTATTTCACTTAGCATGATATTCTCTAGCTCCATCCATTTCCTGGCAAATGCCATAATTTCATTCTTTTTTAAAGTTGAGAAATATTCCATTGCATATACCACATTTCCTTATCCATTCATTTATTGAAGGGCACCTATGTTGGTTCCATAGTTTAGCTATTGTGATTTGAGCTGCTATATACATTGACATGGCTGCATTACTGTAGTATGCTGATTTTATGTCCTTTGGGTATAAGTCGAGGAGTGGGATAGCTGGGTCAAATAGTGGTTCCATTCCAAGTTTTCTGAGTAATCTCCATACTGCTTTCCATAGTGGTTGCACCCAATTTACAGTCCCACCAGCAATGTATGAGTGCACATTTTTCTCCACATTCTTGCCAACATATATTGTTGCCTATATTCTCGATGATTGCCATTCTGACAGGAGTGAGATGAAATCTTAGTGTAGTTTTAATTTGCATTTCTCTAATTGCTAGAGATGTTGAACACTTTTTCATATATTTGTTGGTTGATTGTATTTCTTCTTCTGTGAAGTGTCTATTCATTTCCTTAGCCCATTTATTGATTAGGTTTTTTTTTTTTTTTTTTTTTTTTGGTGTTAAGTTTTTTGAGCTTTTTATATATCCTAGAGATTAATGCTTTATTGGAGGTGCATGTGGTAAAGATTTTCTCCTGATCTGTAGGCTTTCTCCTCACGTTATTGATGTTTCCTTTGCTGAGAAGAAGCTTTTCATTTGAATCCATCTCATTTATTGATTCTTAATTTTACTTCTTGTGCTTTAGGAATCTTGTTAAGGAAGTCAGGTCCTAGGCTGACATGGTGAAGATTTGGGCCTACTTTTTCTTCTATTAGGTGCAATGTCTCTGTTCTAGTTCCTAAGTCTTTGATCCACTTTGAGTTGAGTTTTATGCAGGGAGAGAGACAGGTTTAATTTCATTTTGTATGCAAAAGAGTCAGCCTTGCAGCAGCTGCCCAGCCTGATACCTGGGACCAGCTCCTCTAGTGCATTTCCCAGGGAAAGCCCTCTTTTGCCCAGGCTCCTGGCATAATTGTGGGTTGGCACACTCTAAGTTTGATCCTCAAAACCCTTGCTCATTACAACCCAAGGCCATAGAATGAATTCTCCTTTCAATCTGGGGACTGCTCCTTAAACACCCATTGAACCCCACAGCTGGCCTTCCTCTTGGGCTCCCCAGGGCATCTGGAGCTTCTGTTTTGACTGCTCCTTGCTGCAGTTCTGCTGCCCCCTGCCAGTGTATGAGCCTCAGAGCAGGAACTTCCCTCTGCAGGGGACCCTTAAACCATCTTTTACCTGAGAGGGTTGGACAGGGAGTGCAGTCTCACTATATGTTGCCTCACCCACCCTGTCCTTCTCAGCACAGCACAGAGAAGTGGCCTCTGCAGTGTGCTTGACAGTGGGCCACGTAATTGAATGTCCAAATGTAAAATCTCTCTCTGGTCCATGTGTTTTGATAAAAGAGTGAAAAGTGCAGAATAAGCTTTAGCCTTACTACAAAGGGTCCGGTTCAGAGGGACCTATGTGACACCCCTCAGGGAAGTTTCCTTACTTCACAAATAGGAATCAAAACTGATTTTACTCCTTCTCCCATCACAGCATGGGTGATGCTACAGAACACAGGATGTGTTTGGTACCACAGTTCATCTGTGTGCTTATGCCACCTCCAACATCCCTGTTCTCCTCCCTCCTCCTCCCTCTTCTTCTGCTCCTGTTCTCTTCCTTGTTCTCATCAATATCACCACTACCACCACCATCATCATCATTGCTATTACAATTATTTTTATTTCATCACATATGCCCTCTCACTACAAAATGTTTACCAGCACATTAATGTATAATCATGAGTACTCTGTGCATCCTAATCTTGCATCAAAAACAATTTAGTAATAAATACTTTTAAGTGATACTAGCAATTTTTTTAAAATCTCATAATGGTCATGTCCAAAAAAATTGGAATAAAAATTGAGCCTACTGTGTGGTGAAATACTAGTTCATGGTGGAAGATTTTTGTATAAGCCTGGTGTTAGCCTCCCATGAAATTGAAAAAAAAAAATCCTTCTATTCAGTCTTAATGAAGTCTAGGCCAACTTCACAAAAAAATCACTGTTTGCTGAGTCCATTTCATAGATCTCTTCAGAGGAAGGAAAGGATTCTAATATTAGACTATGCCACCTAGTGAAACCTGAGATATTTAGAGACAGGGTCTTGCTAAATTACTTAGGGCTTCTCTAAGTGTGCTGAGGCTGGATTTTAACTCATGATTCTCCTACCTCAGGTTCCCAAGTAACTGGGATTAAAGGTGTACACCATTGCACCCAGCTAAAGTAAGCAATTCTTAAAGAACTTCTCAATGACAGCAGAAAGTATCTTTCTTCTTAAAGTAAGCTAATCTGAGATACACAGCTGTATTCATGTGAAGCAAGTTGTGTGATTGCAAGATAAACATCTGAACATCTGCATACCTCTCTGAACTAAAATTTTGAAATGAACACTATTAATGGCATTGCTAATGCAGGTAATCTATGGACAAATGAATGAGAAAAAGAACAGGAAGACAGAAAAATAAGTCATCTGTATCTACAACAGTCATATGGTTTTATGGTGAACTCCATAATTGTCTGAAAATTCATTCCAATTTATCTGTTTTATTTGCTGAGTCACAGAGATGTGTTTTTTCTGCTTTTTTGTTTTATTTTCCTCTGTATCTCATTGTCCATGATAAAACCAGCTCTCTGAACCTTGGAACACAGGAGAAACAGAACAACAGAAATGTTTCTTCCTGATGCTTCTCATAAAAATTTATGAAATGCTTTTTCAGTCTCTGTATTTTCATATTTATTTACTTTATCCTAATTAAATTTCCATATTGAAAACAACATGTTATTGTTTTTGCAGGTAATAGTTTCTCTATCAAAAAAGTTAAAAAAGAAAATGGGCCCCAAAATGCATGAAACAGCTGTGTGTGAACCCTGAAATACAAGCCATAGAAGGGAAGGTAGGAAGACAGGACTCAGAGGTGAGATTTCTGCTTGTCCTTTTTTCTCCCTGGCTTGGACTCCAGGCAGCCCTGGGACTGAAAGGGATCCCATATGAGACAGGACAAACCCCTTGTTCAGTGTTCCATCCTGAGAAAGGTGACTCTTGATGCTCTGAGTAGGATTGAGAAATCATGTTTTGTTTTCCTGCTGTCCATTTTCAATACCCCATCCTTCAGGACATCTGGCTTCACTGACAGCAGTCACAGCAGAAGGCGTAAGGACCTGATCTAGAGTGCATCCAAGAGGATGGCATGAAGCTTCCTTGGTTCTGTTGCCTTGTCTTCCTGGTACTCAGCCTGGACACATGTATAGGCATAGATGTGCTCAGCAATAAACATACACTTTGTTAAACCAGCGGGAGAAGGGGAAACACCACAGATATGGTTTAAGGAGGTTGAGAGAGATGAGGTTGGGAAAGCAACCACCCAGATCACTTATGATCTTATTATGGCCTTACCTCTATACTGCAGACACATGGATCTGATACTAAAGAAGATGCAAAAACTGAAAACAGGGTTGAGGGGTAGGGATAGTCCACAACCAGTTTCCAAGTGGGAGACTGTATGGTGTATATACAAAGTAAATGCAAAGAGTATTGCAAAACTTTTATAAAGTAACCTACTCATGGAAAGTTAGAACTTGTATCTTGAACTCAACTTAGCAGACTCCTTGCTAAGACAGAAATATGCAAATAGGATCTTAACAAGATGCAAGAGTTTTATAAAATAATATTGGAAGTCTGGAATAGAGT